CCCCCTCCTCCCGGAGCACGTCTGTAAGAGTCGTGCACCTCCATGTATAACATAACATCCAGTGGCTTATGCAGTACTCAAAATAAATGGACTATTTAAGATTACTGCAACCTAGTAACACTTTGAATGCCTCAATGCTAGTTAGTGTTTATTCACAAAGTAGTCCCACTGACTTCATGAGACCTTTCATATGAATTACTGTCTCCAATTTGAATACATTTTTCACAAATCTGGCCATTAGCTTTCACAGACTCATGTGCAAGATTCATGGTACCCATATTTTGGGTTTCACATAGTCTGTGGCATCACAACCTATTGAGTGCTGTTACTCACAGCACTTTGGTAAGAGTATCCTCAGTGATCAAAATGTAAAAGATGGCTTGATTCTGGTCTTGTTTACATTGGTTGGATTTAGCCAAATTACTCCTTATTTACAGTGAAAGCAGAACCAGGCCCTATCTCTAAACAGAACTGTGTCTCTTGAACACAGTATAATTCTTTCCAAGCTGATGGGCTCATTCATGCATTTTTGCCACTCTGACATGTTCAGTTTGGTTACCTCTTTCCAGTTTCTTAATATGCACCACTTGGCTCTCAACAATAAATGTTCATGAGGGCAGTCGCAACATTTTAAGGCTGTGGACCAGAGTGACCGAGCTTGGATCAGAGGTGGGTGGCCAGTAGGACCCAGCCATTACTGCTACTTTTCCCGGGGGCAGTTAGAGAAAGCAAGTGCTGCCAAAGCCATCTCCACCAAATGCCACCGAAGCCCCAAGTCCATGAGCTGACTCAAATGGCTCCACAGGCTGAATCCAGTCTGCAGACCACAGGCTCTGGCTTATAATGATTATTCAGACTCTTGCTGACATTTAGATCATGCAGTAGAAAACTTTATGGGTCCATAGGGAACACTGTACTTCAAACCATACTCTGTTTCTTGCAGGCTCTTCTCAAGAATTTTAACTATGAGCACAGAGCCATGAAAACCTGCCATTTTGTTTTTCACACTGTTAACAATATCCACAGGGCCCCATGTTGCCATTTTTGGTTGGCATTAAACATTATCCTGAAAATGATCTCTTGGAACAGCTTAATGAAGTGTAAATTCAAGAACCCTAGATCCTGAAGTTGAATAATGTCGTGGTCCAAGCTGGAAATCAACTTCATGGTTTGATCCTTCTGGAAAGCCAAATTGTCAGCTAAGGGAAAGTGACATTATTCCATTGACTCAAATAAAAATAATACTTAGCTTTTCTACAGTTCTTTTCATCAATGGCTTTCAGCAGCTTGCAAAGGAGGTAAATATCATTATCCCTAATACATAGGGGTAGAAACCAAGTCACAAAGAGGTCACACAATAATAGAGGCACACAAAATATTTTTGGGCCCATTATAAGCTCCAATATAAATGTGGTAAGCTTCCCAAAATGTGTTTTCAGTTGTCACAAAGCTATTCATGAATTTGGGTCCAATCCATCAAATAGTTTTGACTGAGAAAAAAATACAGAGCTAATTTCTCAAAGCTGCGGGTTGCTGGTGTCCCTTTTCTTTTTATCCAATAGGCCTGTTAGTTAAGGGCTCCTCCCCTAGATGGGAAACCTGGATTCAATTCCCTTCATTTCCAAAGAGGATTTCATCCAACGTCACTCAAAAGCATGCTTTAGCCATCACAGTATAAGGTACTTTTGGGGGCGGGGAAGGAGCAGGGGGGTGTTCACAGTGCCTCTTGTTGATGCTGTTCTGCTTTGTGCAAGTAATTACACATACTCTGGAGCAGGATCTCCCAATCTAGGTGCTTCATCTCCTAGCTGAATGGTCTGGCAACAAAATTAAAGTAGTTCTCTTGATCACTGTCTGGTATAAGGAATATTAAAGTACTTCATTCAAATGAGAAGTGCTCCAAACCATGAAGGTTTCATGGAGTCATCACCCCTGCCCCAAGAACCATGGATGCTGGTGGTTAGGATCCCCACTAAGAAAGAGAACATCTGAGTGTCACAAGGTCACATAGGTGCCTTGTGCCTAGAAAGGGTTAAGAACAGCTGCCAATCACCAGGGCAGCTCAGCTGCCGGTTGCTGGGGCAACCATGTGGGTCAGGTGACCAGAAGGGGGCAGGGCTGGGCCCTTATA